ATGGCTGTGAGAGACAAAGGTCAGGCGAGGAGACCCTGGTTCACCGACAGGACCCTCAGCCCCTCTCTTCCTTTGTTTCTCTCCTAGAACCGAAACCATTTGAAAGATCCCCAGTAGCGCCTCAGACTGAGTTTAATTCCCTGGAAAGTGTTGGGGGGTATAAAGGAAAGGGCACTTGGGGGCTGCTAGGTAAGCCCAGCGGCCTCCAGTGCTCTGGCGGCTTTGTCCACTGCAGCGGGCTGGAGTCCCAGGAGCTGAGCCCCAGGCGGAGGGAGGGTCCCGAAGCGCCTGCTCAGGCGGAGGTGGCCCGCGCTGCGCTCGCTCGGCAAGACTGCCCGGAGGGGGTGGAGGCTGGGTGGGTGGGAAGGGGAGATCGCTCCCGGGTTGGTGGCGTTTGCCGGCGGCTGCGGTTAGAGAGGTAGGGCTGACCTGGGCAGCCGGAGCAGCTGGGGGAGAGAAATCAATGAGTGTGCAGATGCGCTGCCATTTTATTGATGATGCTTCGGGCCACTTTGTTCAGTGCTGGGTTGTGGGACACGCTTTCCCACATGCAAGACCAAAGGTGCCAGACCCAGAGGACGCGACATTGTTTCCCTAGCACCCTCTTTACCCGGGCAGGGGTGAAGAAGGACAGCTCAGACCTAGGAGACGCTTAGGGTGGGGGTAAGCCTGCCTGACGCCCAGAAGCTCAGTTATTCTAAATTTTGGGAGACAGAGAAGGAGGGAGCCAGACCTCGGTTTGAGCTTCATATTGTGCACGACCTGGACACTCTATTGTAATGCACCCAGCCGGCTTGCAGAGTTTTAAGGACTGGCTAGTGCACCCTGGGCTAGAGAGAATTCCAGAGGCAGAGTCTGCAAGAAGCAGAGGCAGACATGTCTATCGGGCTTCCGACCCCAGAAACAGTGCTGCAGCCAGGACAGAGGCAGATGAGAGTTAAACTGTGCTTCCAAATTACCGGGAAAGCTCGCAGTAATTGCGCTTTGGGGACCCAGCACTCCTGGGAAGGATGAAAACTCCCTGAAAAGGTGAAGGAAACTTCGCTTTCCTCTGCTCTTGGAGATCTTGGAGTGCAGGAAAAGGGTGTCTACAAGGAGTCGGGAATCAGATTTGCCCATGACTTAAAAAAAAAAAATCTTATTTCGTTCTGTACTTGAAAAAAAAATCAAATCAAGCTTCCCCTACTTGAGTGGGATTTACATCCCCAGAACGGAAGGGCTGCTTCTACCCTCCCCCGCTGCCGGCCTCCACGCTAACCGTGCTTAACTGAGGCCGTTTCAAGTGCTCTAAAACACCCCTTGGAAATAAAATGTAAGCTTTAATTGCTGTTCAATTACTTGTCAGCATTTCATATGATTTATGACCCAGTTCTGGCGCATTTTTGACCCAGTTAAAGACTCATAAATAATATAGTTTCGCTAGAAAGAATGAGAGAGGGAATAGAGGTTTGTTAAAAGCATCTTTTTATTGTCACTTCAGTGCCAGCAAGCGGAATAAATATCTAGGGATGGACTCTCAAAAAACTGGTTCTGTATAAAAGTATGCACGGTGAGAAGAAACCAATAGTCCAGTTTATAGAGCACCAGTTGGTTTTTCTTTCATGGAAAGAGCTAAAGGTACTCTATTATAGATAGCTAAGCTATAGCTATATATATATATATATATATATATATATATAAGCTAGTCCCCTTTTACCTTCAAAATGCCAAAAACTCAGGCTCACAGGCAAGTGCATTTCCTCATTAATTTTCCTCCCCATTCCTGGATTTCCATTCTTCTTTTTTATCTCACCTTTCTCCCTGGCTGCACAGAGAGCCTCGGATCGACCCCAGGCCCTCCCCGGCATGTTCTCAAGGAGGCCCCTGTAAAGGGTAGAGAGGCACAAACGCACCTTCGCTATTCCAGATATTTTTGTAGTGCTGAGAAAATGTTTTCTTCTAAGTCCCCAATGGGTAAGACATATGGGAGCACAGGGGCTAGAGGCGGTGGTTTGGGGGAACCAAAGGGTCCTCTCCACAAAGAAAACCTCAGTGGTTTTGGCCGAGCAGGGTGAATGGCTGCAGGATCTGCCTAGAAGGGGCACCGCAGCAGCAGTGGTGGGTAATTCCCGGTAGTGGAAATTGACAGGCAGTATTTTACTCTTAAAAAACAATAACAAATTAAAAACCTTCAGCAGTCATAAATTATTATTTTTAATCACCTCGCCTGCCATGTTCCAAAAGCCATTCCTGTGGATTTCAGAAGGGAGGCCCAAACCCCGGAGGTCTACATGCCAGGGTGTCAGGACTCTAGACTTGAGGTCAGAGCTCCATTTCTGCCTGCTGTAGCCCGCCACCCAGAAGCCACCTAGTCTTGGGACCAGCAAAGACCCAGTCCGGAGCTCCCACCCCAAGCTTTCCCTCAACTCCCGCTGCTCCAGTCCTAGCATTTTGCCCGGCACAATCTGGAGCTGGTGAAAAGGTATGCGCCCCAGATGCCCCAGCCCTCACCTCGGCGCCCTCGGCCCTCTTGGCCCAGGAGGTCCCCTCCCCTGGCAGGTTCTCACGGAAAGCTGGCCTTCCTTGCAGCTGGCTTAGCTGAGAAGGCGGTAAGAGTCGTGTCAGCAGTTTGGAGGAGAAAGTGCGGGTTGATTATTGACCCACGCCTTCTTTCTTCAAATGCCACATCCGACCCGGCCAGTTTGAAGAGAAAATGCAGCCGAGCGGATTTTTGCGGCGGCTCTCACCTCCTACGCTGCCCGGCTCCCTCTTTCAAGTTGCGCTGCCGCAATATGCCATAAGGAGCAAGTGTTTGCTGTTTTGTGCTCTGTTTACAGCTTTGGGGCGCCGAGTCATAAATCTTGCCCAGCCATAAATGACAAAAACCATTGGTATGCATGAGGCCACCCTGGCCAGGAGTGCTTTTTGATTTCTCCCTTTTCCCTTGGCTTTGTTTTTGCTCTAAGGTGACACTTTGGCTCCCTGACAGTTTAAACATACTACTTATATTTTTAACACCTTCCTTTGAGAAGGACTGGCCGTTGACACCTTGGAATTGCACGAAAGCTCCATTTCTCTTTTTGCCACACACATACCCTTGCAGAGTTCGCTTCTGAATCTGGAAGAGTGAGGGAGGCATTAGAAGGGAGGGAGACTATCCTCCTTAAAGTTGTGGCAATATTACCGGCCGCACTCTGGCCTTTCCTCTGCTTAGCGTCTCTGTATATCACTAATTAGGGGGGGGGGAACCTCATAGACCTGGTGGGTGTTGGGGTCAGAGTTTTATCTCTTTCCCTGTGAGTGAGCTGCCTATCTGTACTGGGAAATGGGCACAGAAAAGCTAGAGACCCAGGTTTCTAAGGCACTCTCATGTGTACCTGAGCCCAGAGCATCCCATTTCACTGCCTAGACTTAAGTGCATTTCCCCCAGGCTACCTCCCTCCCGGCTGCAGGATTTTAAGGGTTTCTGCCTAAAAATATAACCAAAGATAGCCCAGTTGGCTCTTGGGGAGGCCTCTTGAGAAAGGAGGCCCTACCCCTGTCCCCCAAAGATTGGCTTTGAGGTTCTCAGATTGGGGGTGGCTGATGTAGTAAAGTGCCCAAAGTCTGGGGAACTCTGCTTCTGGTTCTCTTTCCCCTTGCACCCCAACTGGAAGTGTCCAGGGCAGAGGGTTATGTGGTTTCTCAAATGGATTCCTAAGAAATAGAGCCCGGCAAGAGAGCCCCTTTGTGAGAGCCGTTTGTCCTCATTAGCATAATTTTCCTGGACTTTAGTGACGCCTAGAAGCGAGGAGAGGGAGGGCGTTGGGGGTTGGGGGGAGGCTGCCCTCCTCCCGCCGCCGCCGAGTTCCCCCTCTCGCTCCTGTCCCTCCCCTCGCCTCAGCCCCATCCCCCACGCCGCCCCGCGCTTCCCCAGCCGCCTCGGCCTCCCCTCCCGCCCGCCCCCAGCACCCCCCACCGCACCCCCCGACCAGACGCTGCTCCGCGTGTAATATTCATAAGAAACATACCCAAGTCGGTGCCACTAGCCCAGGCAGAGAGCCCTGCGCCGCGCTAGCGCTTATCTCCGGGCCGCGGCTGCTGCCCTCGGGAAGGGCAGGGGGCGGGGGTGTGGGGGAGGGGTGGGTGGGTGGGGTGGGTGGGAGGGGGGGTCCAAGCCGCCCCAGTCCGCCCTGGGCGAGCCGCGCCGGAGCAGCGAGGCGGCCACGCTCCGCGCCGCGGCGTCCGGGCCTTGGGGTCTCCCTCCCGCCCGCGGTCTCGGCTGATGCTGAGGGTCGGTGCCCAGCCCGCGCCTAGGGGACCGGCCGGGCCGCCGAGCCGGGCCGGGGGCCGGAGCCCGAGCCCGAGCCCGAGCCCGAGCCTGCGCCCGCGGCGCTCGTCAGAAGTTAAGGTAAGCAGGGCCACAACCGGCGGCTCTCAGCGCTGAATGGCGGAGTTTACGTCTCGGTGATTTATGGCTGCAGACTTAAATCTCGGTTCAAGAAGAGTTCACAAGCCGGAGCTTCCTTCCCGGCAGTGACTGATACCCTTACACTTCGAGTTCAGGCGGCTTTCTCATCCCCGCCCCCACCTCGTCCCTCTCCCCTAGCCCAGCCCCAACTTTTCTGGGTTGGGGTGGGAGGGAGGGGTGGGCAAGGGGACGCGGGGGCTCTCACCCGATATTCCCACTTAAACTCGGGGTGAGGGCAGGCTAAGGAAGGGGCGGGAGTGGAAACGGGGAGCGGTGTCTGAAGGAAGGAGGTTGAATTTGGGCAGATCTTCCAGAAAGACAATAGGGCTTGCTTTCTGCACTCAACTTAGCCTCCTCAACTCTCTTTCAGCTCTTGCACCTGGGGGTTATTGTCCAGAAACAGATCTTTTTGGAGGAATCTCCTCCCATCCCCAGCCCTTGCTGGGGGGGTGGGGGTGGGGGTGCAAAGCAAGTTTCCAGACTGGCGGATCTCCAACTTCTTTACTAGGTTGCAAACTTTGGGGGCTGGGGTGGGGCGGGAGGGGGGAAATGTGTGGGCCCCACGGTGGTTGTCTGCTAACCTCAAACAATAGGAAGGACCTTGGTGGGATCACCGAGGAGAATTCATATTTTGAGTTTATGGGGGCTGTTGTTTGTTCTTTGGTTTTTCACGGCATTTTTGTTATTTACAAGACAATGCACACACAACTTGATGAAAAGACTTAAGTAAGCAGCCGGCCAATATAGCTTGTGATAATGGATTAGCAAGTCACTTGAAATGCTGCAGGTTCAAAATCACCTTAATTTTGTTTTATCTAATATCTTGCTGTTCAAGTGTCTGGAGTAATTTTCTTAACCTGACATTTTATTTTGCACAAGCCTACTATCTTAAAATTTTATAATGGCAGACATGAACACTGCCAAATGTAATAGGAGCTGTTTTCAGTGAAAGAACAGGAAACTGAGATATTCACTACTGCTATTCAGTTTTAAGTTTTATTTATTTTCGATCATGGTATCTGTTGGTTCCTATCTATTTCCAACATAGAAACAATACTCCAGGGCTCAAGATTACACACAGTAACTTCGGATAAGGGAAGCTGTGATTTTTTAATTGAGGTTCTGGAAAATTAATTGTGCTTGTTTTCCAGATGTTGGTCAGATTGTTGCTTTAATAATGAAATACAAAGGAACCCGTTATTAAAAACAAAATTATAATCATGCGCTGGTGGATGGTGTTTTCTAGTTAACAAAGTGTCGGCTAGTCCTAGAGAACTTGAATGACTCCAGGACTCAAATATACATATACATAGTTGGGGCATGAACTAAACCATTTTCTTCATGAATTTGTCATTGCATTTTTTTCTTAGAGAAACTATCATTCTCTCTGTGTGTGTGTATGAACTCACATGGAACTTTTCTCAGCTGAGAACCAGAGATTGACCATGAAAAGGTTGAAAACAAAATAAAACATAGATTTCACTTCTGCAAACTGCTTTCTAAATAATAAATTTAAAAAAAAGAGTTGAGAAGGCTTTTTAGTTGCTTTTAAGATTTCCAGGGTTGACCTTTACTTGGTGTCTCTGAAGCAGGTAAATAGGCCAAGTAACAAACATCAACAACAACAGCACACAAAGATCAGGGAACTCTGGCAGGATTTTATGGCTTGTGCTTCCATCCCTCGTCCGGAGCCAAATGACCCCCATACATCAAATTACATAGCAGTTTCTAAGACAGAACCTATTATCGTTAAGTTGGAAGGAGAGTTCAAGCCGTGGTCATGGAGATGAACGCTGGTTTTTCAGGTTCCTGGTGGGTTGTTTTTTTCTCTAATCCATCATGTTTTAACAGGTAGAATTTGATAGTTGCCCTGAATAACAGCACCTCAGAAAGTCCAAGGCAGGAGGGTCTGGGAACCTTCTGCAACAGGGGAAAAGAGGTGGGAGTGGCTTGCTGGGTCCTGCCTGAGAAATAGGGAGAGGAAAGGAGTAAAGAACTGTCCAGGATTTGAGTTTGACTTGCTAGAGCGAGTGTTGTTGTTGGTCCCTTCCCACACAGGATGTTCCATCCAAAGTTTTCTCTCTCCCCTTCTTGGCCACAAGGGGCTCATTTGGAGGAGGTAGGTCATATCCCTGCACAGGGATAGATTAACTGCCTAACAAGCTCAGCTTCTGAAACCCAGCGGGGTAGAGTAGGGCAATTGCCTGAAAATTTTTTATGCATACCTCTGTTGGGTGCTGGAAGATCCAGGCAGGGGCTGGATGGGAAGTCACCTCGCGTCAGGGCTCTTTTGCCAAATATCAGTCGTAAGCAAGGATTGGAGAACAGATTGTCAGCCTAACCTCCCCTGTGCCCCCTTGCCCCTTCCTCCAAGATCCTGAGAGGGAAGGAGTCGCGGGGCTCACTGGACAAGGCTAAAGAGCGGTGATGAAGGGACACCCCCAAGTTTCTCCTTCCCTGGAAAAGAAGAATCCCAGCCCAGTTTCTTTCTAGCTCATCAGCCTTTCTTCTTCTGGACTCCAGGTCTGGAGACCCGACTTCCAGCCCTCGCTGACTCTCCTCCTCTCTCCCCGGAAAACCCCCCAACTCCAGACGCAAGTTAAGCAAATATTTGTAGCTGCCAGTAAATTCCAGCGGCTTTTTATAGCGCGGCTCTCTGCGCCCGGGGCCAAGTCGTGCTGCTAAATATTGCTGACCACTTTTTCTTTTATGGCTTTCATGTCACTTAGCTATTGAGAGTAAGATGGATTTGCGCGGAGCCCTCACCGCGCTGCGATTCTCGCCCCCCCAGGTCTGCGCAGGGCGGCAATTGGCGGCGGAGCGTCACGTGACCGCGGGGGCGTGCCAATGTGCGCCCTCACGGGTGTCAAGCCCCTGTCAGTGTGTGCGATCAAGATCGTGAAACAACGCGATGCAAAAAGCGACCTACTACGACAGCTCCGCGATCTACGGTGGCTACCCCTACCAGGCAGCCAACGGGTTCGCTTATAATGCCAGTCAGCAGCCGTACCCGGCGTCCGCGGCCCTGGGCGCCGATGGCGAGTACCACCGGCCTGCCTGCTCACTCCAGTCGCCCGCCAGCGCCGGGGGCCATCCCAAGGCTCACGAGTTGAGCGAGGCGTGTCTGCGCACCCTGAGTGGCCCGCCCAGCCAGCCCCCAGGCCTGGGCGAGCCACCCTTGGCCCCGCCACCGCCCCAGGCCGCGCCCCCTGCTCCACAGCAGCCTCAACCCCCACCGCCGCAGCCCCCAGCACCTGCTCCGGCCGCGCCCCCTCCCCCCTCTTCGGTCTCCCCACCTCAGAATGCCAGCAGCAACCCCACTCCCGCCAGCGCAGCCAAGAGCCCCCTACTCAACTCACCTACCGTGGCCAAACAAATCTTCCCCTGGATGAAAGAGTCTCGGCAAAACACAAAGCAGAAAACCAGCGGCTCCAGCTCAGGTAAAGCGGTGCCTTCTGGAGGAGGGTCCACTGGCCTGGCCAAGCCACTTCCAGCTGCGGCCAGGACAGTCTGGGAGCCCTGGAACATTTTCAAGAATTAACTGCTCCTTCTCCCTCAAACTAGGGGGTTGGGGGGGGCGACAGGACTCTGCGTGCCCAGGAACCCCCAGAGAGAGACCTGATGGGAGCGTCTCTTGACCGCTTCAAGAGCAAGTGGGGCCTAGTGAGTTTGGAATCCCTTCTTGCTCCACTCTTGGAGTTAGGACCTTTGGACACAACAAACCTGAGCTCCACTCTCTCTCTTTAGCACAACTCCTCATTTCTAATGAAACAGTGACATCCACTCCACACTGAAATGTGGAAGAGTAAAAGCAGGCCTAGTCAACCATCCGAGTGAGAATCAACACTTTGCTTATAAACAGAGCCTATTTTTAATTTTTTGCTCCAGTAGATGGAGTGGCTGCCCTTCCTCTGGGAAGGCCCTACTCAGACTTAGTACAATGAAGGCAGCCAGGGATCTCCTGGGGGAGGGGATTTGGCCTTGTCATGCTAATAGGAACCACATGGGCCTCCTGGAACTAAACTGGAGGACAGGCCTTGGGTCTGGGGCTTCCCAGCATCTTGGTCACTGTTGCCCCTGCTTTCTCCAGTTGCCAGTACTCTGCCCTGAACCTGAGCATCTGGAACCCTCCAGAGTCAAGATTTGGGGGTGGGGTGGGGATAGGAGGGCACAGGATTCGTGTACAAAAATGGGAGGCTGCTTGATGACATGAAGAATCCTAATAAATAGGCATCAGGGGCCTGGGTCACCCCACTCACTAGAAATTGATATTTTCAATGGCATCTCTTCCTTTGGGCACAGAAAGCCTTCCAGATTGGGGCTTCCACTCCAAAGCATCTCCACTGGGTAGACAAAATGAGTGGCCAGTTGAGGCGAATGTCCAGTCCTTCAGTCAGACAGTGAGAGGGGAAAGGTTTATTGAGTGTGTATTAGGTGCTCCACATTCCAGGTGCTGTGAAGGGAGTGATGGGAGACCTGCCCACAGGGAGCTTGTAGTTCTTGATAGGCCTGAAAGGATCAGCAAATGATTCAGAAAGTGATGAGCTCCAAGAGGGAAATACAGACCAGAGAAGCAAACTGGGGGTTCTCCTTTTCTGTCCTTACCTCTCCCCACTTAGGGAAGCTTCTGACTTGCAACTTGACTGAAGGAGGGACTAGCTACCCAGCTACTGGCACTGTTTCCCCACCAGGACACAGGGCAGCACCTAGTTCCTCCTCCCCCTTTTTGGGCCCTGACAGATGGAGGGATCTTGGGGCCTGGAGCAAGGAGGGGCCTGGCTGGGTCAGGGGCTAGGCGGGGCCTGGGGCCGCCCCTGACGGCACTCTTCTCTGTCCTCACAGGGGAGAGCTGCGCTGGCGACAAGAGCCCGCCTGGGCAGGCGTCGTCCAAACGGGCGCGCACCGCCTACACGAGCGCGCAGCTGGTGGAGCTGGAGAAAGAATTCCACTTCAACCGCTACCTGTGCCGGCCACGCCGGGTGGAGATGGCCAACCTGCTGAACCTCACCGAGCGCCAGATCAAGATCTGGTTCCAGAATCGCCGCATGAAGTACAAGAAGGATCAGAAGGGCAAGGGCATGCTGACGTCATCAGGGGGCCAGTCCCCAAGTCGCAGCCCAGTGCCCCCTGGCGCGGGCGGCTATCTGAACTCTATGCATTCGCTGGTCAACAGCGTCCCATATGAGCCCCAGTCGCCCCCGCCTTTCTCCAAGCCTCCCCAGGGCGCCTATGGGCTGCCCCCCGCCTCCTACCCCGCCCCCCTGCCAAGCTGCGCTCCCCCACCGCCCCCACAGAAGCGCTACACCGCGGCGGGGGCGGGGGGTACACCCGACTACGACCCACACGCGCATGGCCTGCAGGGCAACGGCAGCTATGGGACCCCACACTTACAGGGAAGCCCCGTCTTCGTGGGGGGCAGCTATGTGGAGCCCATGAGCAACTCTGGGCCTGCCCTCTTTGGCCTAACTCACCTCCCCCACGCCGCCCAGGCCGCCATGGACTACGGGGGTGCTGGGCCGCTGGGCAGCGGGCACCATCACGGGCCCGGGCCAGGGGAGCCGCACCCCACCTACACGGACCTTACCGCCCACCATCCTTCTCAGGGAAGAATTCAGGAAGCCCCCAAGCTCACCCACCTGTGATGGTGGGCTCGGGGCTGCGCGCCAGGAGAGTCCCCCTGCCCCCACCTTTCTTCTACGTTTACTTTTTTTTTTTTTTGATTTTGTTTTAAGGTTCCTCCGGTCCTCCCTTCTCTCTCCTCCGCCCCCACTACCTTCCCCCCACCCCGTTTTGTTTTCTTTGGTAACGCGTTTTTATAGTTTATGTGACGTAGCAATCTTGGTTGCTGGAATGGCTGTCAGTATCAGTAGCGATGTTTATCTCCTCCCACCCCTCGCTCGGCCGCTGGCCCTGCATCCTTTACCTTCTTTACTCTTTGATCAGAAACAGGGTATATGAACAAATTTTCTAGCCGAGTTCTTCAATGTGAATTTGTTCGTACATTATGGCTCCCGAGGGGAAGCAATTACTTTTTTTCTTAATTTTTAGGTTTTTTTTTTAATTGCACTTCTTGTAAAGAGCGAAAAAAAATCAAAGGCGCTTTGAAACAGGGGCTCCCTGTGCAAGGATGACTAAGTGTACGTCTTTCCGTGTGTGTATGCTGGTGAACAGTCAGATTTATTTATATTTTTTTTGCAAGCATTGAATAATCTAAGTTTTAAATATTATTTATCCCCATCCGTTCGTATTTATATTAAAGAAATTCTGTACCCTGATTGTTCAGAAGGTTTCTTGGGCCTTTTGTTCAATAGTGTATTGGCGTACATAGAAAAAAATTTTTATTTGAAAGGGAAATATAATTCCTTTATAAAAACGATAATGATGCAATAATACCAGAGAGGATCCAGCTTTTGAAAACAGTGATTTAGGTTTGTAACATCCGGCGAAACTGAAAAAAAAAAATCTGTAAACGTGAAAAAAAATGCTAGATTTGTTTTGAGAGTTCTACATTCCTTGCTGCTCACATTCTGAGAAAGTAAACAAAAAAAATAAATAAATAAAGTTTTTATTCTGAATAATATCCGTGTTGAGAAGGGGTTCTTTGGCCGAAGAAGGGGGTCTGCGTGAAATCCAGGCAGAGGCGAAGTGGCTGAGCAGGCCGCGGCAAGCCTTCCAGCCCGGAGTGGGGCCTGGCCAGGCGGCGCGCCTGGGAGCACGGCGAATTCCTGGGAAGGCTGCAGGAGCTCCTGGAGGCGGGCGGCTCTGGACGCGCCGAGCGCCAGCCCGCTGGGCTGCCTGGTTCCCAGCTGCCGCCGAGGGGCCTGCGCGGGCGCAGGGGCTGCGGAGCGCCGAGTGCGGGGGAAACAAAGGGCAGCCGGCCCGAAGCGCAGCGGGGCCGCACAGGTGCCCGAGAGGCCCCGCCGGGGAGTAACGCTGGGCCGTCTTCTCCAAGATCTTCCTCCAGGTCAAAGCGGACCAGCCAGTGCCCCAACCCCGGGCATCACCAGCCTCGCGGAGGATGCCGAGCATTTTCTGGAGCAACCGGACTCTCTGTGGATGCCTTTTCCGTCCCTCATCGCTCCAGGAGGAAAGAATCAGTCCTAAAATCGCCCCTGGGAGCTAGGCGGCCCGAAGGAGACAGAACCTCGCCCAGGTCTCCAGCAAAAGAAAGGCTGACCTCCCAGGAGCCTCCCCAGCCCTGCCCTGGACTGCTAGACTCCCAGCGTCGGCTTCCTCCCGGAATTTAGGATTTGGCATCCTCTGGATTTATTTCCTCTCCTTCATCCCTCCTGGCTCTCCTTTTATGGCCCCAGGGGGAGGAGGAGAGAGAAAGGAGATTGGTATCTTTCTAATAAAAATGCAATTTTATAAGTACTTCTTTCATTTGATGCTGCAAGAGCTAAACATTACATTTCTACTCCTGGATTTAGGATAGGGCTGCCTACTGACTGGCTGGCAGGGGCAAAAGCAGGCACAGGAAAGGGAAATATTTTTACCTTCAGAGTAAAGAATTGCTTGGAGAAGGAACCAAATTCAGAAAGTGAAAACCTCAGAACTGTATCCCCATCAACATCTCCTTTCTAAATTGGAAATGAGGAACCACCTGCGTCTCAGGATCAGAAGCATCTGATGTGAGAAATAAATCCTCCTTCTCCCTGGATTGTATCTTTCAGAGACGGGGGTGAAAAATGTCGCCATTTTGTTTGCAATCCAAAATATCCATCATCATGGCCTCTATCTTTCCCCTGAGAAGCTCCCTCAGGTGATCTTTAGAAATAGGCACTGGAGCCATTTTGGGGGTATCTCTTGGGTCCACAGGAGCTGCTTTTAGGAAACCTCACATTTTAAGAAAAAGAAAAAGGCTCAGAAGATGCAAAGCCAGGCAGCTGTAGAGATCTGGGTGTTTCTCTCACAGCCAGAGATGCTTCTCCCACATCTGTTCTTGGGCTCCTGATACACATTAAAAAAAAAAAAAAGAGTTTGAGTAGATTTGCTCCCCACCCCACCCCAACCTCCCTGCCGAAATATGGCGCACCTCAGAAATGCAGAGGCTGGAAAACCAGCCTTTGTGAGGACTGGAGCTTCCAGTCTTTTGCTTGTTCAGATATGAACTGAGCAGGCTAAGCAACCACAGAATCTTCTTATGAGTAAAAATTTTACAGAACTGTATAAAATTACCTGGTAATATAAGGAACAGTGGAGAGAGCACAGGAGAGAGAGCGAGAGATCGAGAGAGGGAGAGAGCCAGCGAGCGAGTGCTATCCATTCACAGAGGAAAATCTTGCATAGATACCACTATTTGAACCCATTTCTAAAATCTGCTGTTTATTTGAGAGGGGACTGGTTTGGAGGCATCCTCCTTCCCTCAGGGCACAGATTTTTAAATGAGATTCCAATATCATTTCCCATATCTTGGCAGTCAAAACATTCATTTTGGGTTTCAAAGAGAAAAAAAATATTGATCTCACCTCCAGCTTCAAAGATATTAAAAATAAGTCCTTATTAAAATATTCCTGAGTTAAAGTAACAGATTTGGGGAAGATTTCTATGTTGAATGGGCAAAGAAAAGGGTTTGCTTCCAGATGGTATTTGAATTAAGGCCGCTGAGGCGAGCAGAAAGCTCTCACCCACGCAGCCCCTGACAAAGCCTCAGCGATATGGGGGCAGCGCTGCTCCCTCTCCATAGCTCCCCCTCCCCTTAGCCCCTCAATATTATTTCTGGTAAAAGCAAATGCCAAAAGCCACTATCCCAGAATGTGCAAAGCACCTTTCCTAAAAGCAGCCTTATAACTCTTCCTGCTGCCAAAAAGATATCTTTAAAAAGACTAGTTTTCCTTGTTTACTTGCGTTTCCTGCTCTCCTCTTTGCTCGGCCACATTTGATCTTGGAAAGAGCTCGAAGCTGAAATGTGTTCTTAAGGGCCAGAAGCTGTCAAGGCTTTTGGTGAGCAAGATTGATCGCGCCCAGACTTCCTTTAGAGCTTTGTTTGGAATAAAAGCAAGAAAACTGAAAAACCTCACATTTTCCAAAATAGCATCTCTATCTGTAAGGCAATGCTCTGGGCTAGTCAGTGATGGAGGCCGCTTTATATCTAATTTCCAACCCAAGCCCCCTTTGATGCTGGCCTCAGAAATGGAGTCCTAGCCTTGTGCTGCGGTCGGCCTTTCTTGTTTTCTACGTAGATTTTTCTCCCCCACCAACCTCTCTCTCCCTGGCCATCAGAATGATTTATTTTCCTGCCACGGATGCCTGCCGGCCTGGGGGAGTCTGATCACTTGGTCCATTTCAAAGGAAGCAAAAGCGAATCATCATCCTCAGGGTTTGAGGGAAAAGAGATACCTTCAGATTTCTCTCTCAGCCTCCTCCCCTCCTTCTGGCTTGGTGGATTTGTAAAAAGTTATTGTTTGATTCCTAAAGGTGTTATCTTTTGAACCCTCCAGCACAGTCCAAGATGCTCTCAGTCTCAAGTCTCCGAAGTGGAAAAGAGAGCGAGTGAACAGAGAAAAGAGAACCTTTATAATTCCTCCTGAGGTTGCCCTCTCTCACCTGCGGTGCTGTTTCCCACAGCAGAACCTGAGTGCAAACATCGCTGGTGGCCAAGGAGCAGAAAGGTGCGGGAGACGATTTGGGCTGCCAGGGAACACACATTGCATCTGAACGCACAAGCCCCCAATCAGAGCGAAAAAGGACCAGGAGAAGGAGAGGAAAAGAAAAAGCAAAAGAAAGAAAGGAAGGAAGGAAGAAGAGGAACAAGCGCCTTCTCCCTCCCTGCTGCTAACTTCCAACAGACTTCCTGGAAATCAGAAATACTCACCGCACTCGAGCCCTACGGGTATGAAACCCAGAATGCCAGGAGCCGCAGGAGCCTGCTCCGGGTGGCATTGCTTTGGTTGGCCGCCGCCCTGGCTACAGGGATTTGGACACATGGACCTGGGGTTGTTGTCTTGCTTGGCACATGCATCTATCTTTCTCGAGCCACTCCTGAAAAGTTGATGGCACAGGAAGGTTGGGAAGCTTTGAGAGCCGCCTCCCGTCTTCCGCTTCCCTCTGGAGCCAGATGCCTAGCTGCCCTGGAAAAGCCGGCTAACAATGGGCCGGGGTCCGGTCCGGGGGCGAGGACTCGGATCGGAGCTGGGCTTTGGGAGGGGGGCGAGGGCATGCGGGAGGGGTTTGGGGAAGGAGAGGTGGACAGAAGTGAGAGGGAAGGGGAGAGGGGAGAAGAAGGAAAAAAAGAGGAAAGGAGGTAAAGACAGAGAGGAAGGAAAACAAGGATCACTTGTGAGATCCAGGAACTGGTTAGAAAAGGCGGAGGAGGAAAAGGAGAATAAAAGAGGGGAGACCCCAAAATGAATCCTCTCTTCTGTGTCTCCTCTCTTCCTCTCCTTCTCTCTCTCTCTCTCTCTCTCTCTCTCTCTCTCTCCTCTCTCCCTCCCTCTCCCTCTCTCTTTCTTCTCCCTGTCTCATCTCCCCTCTCCCTCTGCTCCTTCCTCCTGCCTTAGCAGAACTTATGTGGCTGGGATGCGGGGCTCTCGGGTGTCAAAACTTTGAAGATTAATGGATTACTTTGTTAATGACTGCAGGCGTCAGACTGAGGTGCTTAAATGATTTGTGAGGTGCGAGGCGTCTTCCCGACAGTCCCAAACAATGCGCGGAGTGTGCGGGGGAGGCAGAGGGCAGCCGCCGGCGGGCCGGCAGCAGGGCTCACACTCGCACACACTCACACTCCACACACTCCCAGGCGCACACACCAGATCTGTGCAGATCAGGAGGCAGGCAGGCACCCTGGCCCCCACGCACTCCCGGGCATCCCCACCCACACCCACCTATATGTATTTTTGCCCTGAAAAAAGTGTAAATAAAGCCTCGCTGGCCCCCAATGAGGCGTTCCTTCCCGACTTTTTTGGATCAATCAAACAGACAGTGGCTTCTTTTGATTAAAGCCCAAATTGTCATTGGGCAGAAGCAATCATGTGACAGCCAATTCGGTCCAATTTCAACCTTGTCTCCATGAATTCAATAGTTTAATAGTAGCGCGGTCCCCATACGGCTGTAATCAGTGAATTAGAAAAAAAACACCCCAGCAGCGATCTTCTATGATAGATTTTTTTTTTCCTCTGCTCTCGTCTTTTTCTTGGGCCTTGCCCCCCCAAAGCCCCTCCAGAAGAGGGAACTTTTTCTCCGAGGGGGCTCCAAGGAGAAGGCCATGAATTACGAATTTGAGCGAGAGATTGGTTTTATCAATAGCCAGCCGTCGCTCGCTGAGTGCCTGACATCTTTTCCCCCTGTCGCTGATACATTTCAAAGTTCATCAATCAAGACCTCGACGCTTTCACACTCGACACTGATTCCTCCTCCTTTTGAGCAGACCATTCCCAGCCTGAACCCGGGCAGTCACCCTCGCCACGGCGCTGGCGGCCGCCCCAAGCCGAGCCCCGCGGGCAGCCGCGGCAGTCCGGTGCCCGCCGGCGCCCTGCAGCCGCCCGAGTACCCCTGGATGAAGGAGAAGAAGGCGGCCAAGAAAACCGCGCTGCCGCCCGCCGCCGCCGCCGCCGCCGCCGCCGCCGCCACCGGCCCTGCCTGCCTCGGCCACAAAGGTCAGTCCAAAGACTTGGCCCCAGGTCCCGGGACCCCTTCTCCCCGCCCGGGCTGCCCGGGGAGCCGCTCTGGGGGAGGGGAGCGTGGGCTGGGAGAGCAGGGGGAGAGAGGGAGAGATGCTTGGCTGCCTTCCCTTCCCCTGTGGGCTCAGGAGTGGGTTTGATGGAGAGAAAAGGGATCCTGCGCTGCACAATGAGACACACATATATTTTTAAGAAGAGGGGGGCGAAAACTTTCCCTAACTTGTGTAATGTGGGATGATTTATTTGAGTTGGAACTGACCTCCTCTTGTCTAGTTGTCCTAGAGTTTGGCTTTTTGACAGTAATGAAGAGTGATAGATCGCTCTTGCTCAGCTAAGCAGCTGATGCATTAATTATAAATTGTGGTGTGGCTAATATAAAGTTTGCTCCCGGATGGAGAGGTTGGGGGGAGCCACAGGCAGGAATTTGATGGAGGTGGAAGAGATGGGGTCTCCCCGGGCTGGGCTCCCAGGAAAGGCAGCACAATAGCTCTCCTGCATCCAGGGGCGGCCATTTTGTTGCAGTTGATCTTTTCTGCTATATTTATTCTCCAGTGGAATAACCCCGCTCGGACCCCTCCACCTCCAACTGTGCGTGTGTCTCTTGTTGGTTTCCTTTTCCGCAGAATCCCTGGAAATCGCCGATGGCAGCGGCGGGGGCTCCCGGCGCCTGAGAACTGCTTACACCAACACGCAGCTTTTGGAGCTGGAGAAAGAATTTCATTTCAACAAGTACCTTTGCAGACCCCGAAGGGTGGAAATTGCAGCGCTGCTGGATTTGACTGAGAGACAAGTGAAAGTGTGGTTTCAGAACCGGAGGATGAAGCACAAGAGGCAGACCCAGTGCAAGGAGAACCAGAACAGCGAAGGGAAATTTAAAAGCCTCGAAGACTCTGAGAAAGTGGAGGAGGACGAGGAAGAGAAGTCTCTCTTTGAGCAAGCCCTCAGCGTCTCCGGGGCCCTTCTGGAGAGAGAAGGTTACACTTTTCAGCAAAATGCCCTCTCTCAGCAGCAGGCTCCCAATGGACACAATGGCGACTCCCAAAGTTTCCCAGTTTCGCCTTTAACCAGCAATGAGAAAAATCTGAAACATTTTCAGCACCAGTCACCCACTGTTTCTAACTGCTTGTCAACAATGGGCCAGAACTGTGGCTCTGGTCTAAACAATGACAGTCCCGAGACCCTGGAGGTCCCCTCTTTGCAGGACTTTAACGTTTTTTCCACAGATTCCTGCCTGCAGCTTTCAGATGCAGTCTCGCCCAGTTTGCCAGGTTCCCTCGACAGTCCCGTAGATATTTCAGCTGACAGCTTTGACTTTTTTACAGACACACTCACCACAATCGACTTGCAGCATCTGAATTACTAAAAACATTAAAGCAAAACAAAGCATCACAAAACAAAACCCCCTTTGACCAGGTGGTTTGGCCTTCTTTTATTCTGAGAGAGTTGATTTTTATTTTATTTTCTTCTAGACCTACTCTGTCTCTCCTCTAAATGTGGAAGATTTTCTGTTAGTGATTCTCCTGATCCAGTCTCAGAGCCATCTTTTACAGATTATTTTGGAGTTTTAGTTGTTCTAAATCTAATCCAACGACCCTCTATGTGATTTCCTGAAAGCAATATATGAGGCCTGCAAGAAAGTGATCATATAATTGTATCTTCACTTTCTTTTTATTTTTGTATTACATTAGGATGCATTGTCATGAGTATTTTTGGTAGAATAAATTCTCCTTTGCTATAAGTAGCTTCTTATTTTTTTCTCCCCCCTCTTTCTCAAGGCTCATAACGGTTTCTTTTTCTTCTTTTAGTCTAACTTGGTAAATAAAATTCTGGTCACAATCCATCTTCTTTTTCCATTTTAATATATTTATTAAGGGGGCATGTTCAAAGTCTTCAACAGACAACAACAAAAAAGAAAGCCAGAAAATGGTTAGGACTTCTGAGAAGTGTTTTTTTTTCTTTCCTTTTTTTCTTTCTTTCTTTTTAAAGGGAATGGATTTGGTTTTTCAGTGTAGAGGTTCAAGCCATAGATTTAAATTGGTGATAGAAACAGAATTGGGCAGCCCCAGAGCTGAGCCAAGCCCAAGCTTTTGAAAGTGGCGAAATAAAGTGCCTACAGAAACCCCCAACTCCAGGAAGGAGGAACATGGAGTTTCTTTAACAAGCTACCAGTCTTCAGGTCAATAACTAAGTTATCAAAATTCATTTATTTATACACATTTGTTTCAAACATCTACATTCCAACCCCTCCCCCACAATCCCGGAAACATTTTCAGTGTGGTTGATTAGTCTCCCAGCTGTTGATGGGTCCAGGCAAACAGACCTAAAAGGTAGAGAAAAACAAAAACAAAACAAAACAATGGTTACTAGCTGGAAAATGCACTTCAGAAAGGGTTCTTTCCAATCCTCTGGTTCAGTCATTCTAGGATTCTTTTTTTTCAGGGTCAGAAAAATCAATATTTCATTCTTAAATCTGTTTACATGGCAAATAATGGATCATTAAAGCTGTGAAGTCAGGTTACCAAGTTGAGATTTTAAATGGAGAGTTTCTGCGCCCTAGGTTACAAATTAACCCAGTTTCTAGAAAGAAAGAGAAAAAGCACTTTAAATAAAAAATCAATAAAATGTGATCTAGGGTACGTTACTGGGTTGTTCTGGTTCTTTCCCCCTTCTTACATCTCCCCATGCTGATCTTTCCCTTACTGAGCTCTGCCGCGATGGCCACTTACCGTGAGAAAACGCAGCGTGTAAGCAACATGTGTGGGGGGCGGGTTGATTTAGGAGCCCGGCTCTTAATAGCTAAGGCTCGGAAGTTACAAAGAAATCGCGATCTCTCTCCATGGGTTTGCACCCTACCTTCCTCCACCCTTTTGCCCCCTAAATCCTGGCAGCGGCCGAGGCGTGTGAGGACCCGGGCGGGTCTCCAGCTCCAGGCGCGGAACTGAGCAGGGCGGCCCGGCCGCAGCCCCGGCTGAGCCGCTGCTGTTTGCGATTCGTCCTACGCTCATAAATCAAACGCTTTCTATGAATGAGAATGTCATCAAAGAGATCAATTGCAGGAACACATGCACAAATAAAAATCCTCTTACGTATTTGCCGGGGATCCCCATCCGAAAGCATTAAGTTAGAAGGCGTTTAGTCATAATTCATTTTTATTGCTCTTTTAAAACAACAGCTTGGCTGAGCCGCGGATGCCATGAACAGCTCCGGGCCTCGGCAGCGTTTTGTCTCCTCCTAGCTCCTTCCCTTGCTAAGAGCAGAGCCCTGGAAGAGGCGCTTTGAGCCCAGCAAGCCGCTCGCAGGTCCTCGTTTAAATAGCGATCGAGCTCTCCTCTCGCCCACTCTCCCGGGGCATTTAAAGGGACTTCAGCTCGAGTCGTGGGGCGCTGGCCTACACGCCCCGAGGCCCAGGGTCTTCTGCAAGGCGGAGTGAGCCCCAGGATTTCGTGGGGGTGGGGAAAGAACCGAGCTACGGAAGCCTTACGGGCCCGAGGCCAGAGGAGCCTGCCTTTGTAAGCCACACCGGAGAGCAGCGCTCCGGGCGGCCAGCCGGGGCGGAGCCGCCTGGGCTGCGAGAGTCCCGCGGGCCGGGAGCCGGGAGCCGGGAGCCGGGAGCCGGGAGCCGGGAGCAGTGCGCGGAGGTGGGTCGGTCGCGGCCCCGAGCGCTTGCGGGCTGGTGTGCAAGCGCATGCATGTGATCCCAAGAAAAACACCCCCACCCGTGCTGGCTCTGGAATGAGGCCCGGAGGGAGGAAGAGAAGTGGAAGGAGTGGAGCGCAGAGGCCGAGAACTAGCAGAGGAAGGGGAGCGATTGCGGCCCGGGGCGCTTTGTGGCGCGAGCCCTGCGGCCAAGGGGGTTGCGCAAACCCGGGCTGAAGAAGCCAACAAAGGAGTGAGGCCAGGGGAAAGGACGCCCTTTGGTTCGGAAGGCAGATCGTTCGCAATGCCAGCACGGACCCTCTCACGTTCCACCTCCTTCCCGACAGGAGCCCCTCCTCTCCCCATCGCTGGAAGCCTGGAGCTCCCAAAGAAGCCGCCTCCAGAAGGGCCGCCTTTCCTTTTCCCTTCTCGAAGATGAACGTCCCCAGGTGCTGAAATTGGGGCAGGAGTGACCTTTCCTGTCCATGCTCTCTCTTAACCGGGGTTGGGGATAGGTCAAAGGTCACTGAAAAATACCATTTCAAAAGGAAATGTTGGGGGGGAAATGTTTCTTTGCTACTGAGGGAATCCGTAGTCAGACGTCTGCAAGAGTTTCCCCTGGGGGAAGGGGCGACTTGGGAGGGGGGAAGCCTTCTATAAGTGGAGAACAGGATGGAGAACCCTGAAAGGTTGACTAACACATTTGAAATGTGCCTGCCTCGAGCAAAACTTTCTTCTTCTAACTGGGGAAGGAAAGCTAGAGGGGAGTGGGAACCCCATCCTCAGATTACTTTTATCTGTTCGATTCCGATGTGGTACACAGGGTCAGAGACAAATCTATGCTGCATTGGCTGCAAAGCTTCGTGGATGATCTCTGGATTTCTTTTACCTAAGAATGCATCAATCCTCGGTCTCAGTTTGGCATTTTCTCTCCTCTCTACAAGCCAAGGGTTGACACGAAACCTAATAGTAAACAGCAATTAACGACCCCGTCAGCATCAGGGTAGGATGAGGGTGATGGAAAACAGGACCCCTGGCCTGGGATGACGCTCAGATTTGCACGTGTCTCTCTAGGGAAAGACTTGAAGGTTCACACAAGGAACTACACAGGCAGTTACAAAGGGGAGGAGGTGTTGGGGAAGAAGAAAATATCCCGTCCACCATCAGCCATCTGTCCCCCGCCCCTCCCACCTGCCAGCCCCTACCCCCCACCTCAGACGTGCAGTAGAAAGGGGAGGGGGCGGTCAGTGGATAAAGGAGGCCCTACCACTCCCAACATCCCCCTGCAGAAAACGAGCACCATTGCGGGGGGAGCTCAGCGTATTTTGTTGGAGCTGCGGGCTCGCCCTTTGAGGCCCCTGCCGGAGCGCGCAGACTCCTGGGTCCGGGGGAGCCGGCAGATGGCCTGCAGCGCACCGCCCGGCCCCCACGCTGGCCACGTCCGCTAGCGTCATCTTTCTCCCCCGCCTCCAACCCTTCAAAATCCCGCGGCCGAGCAGCTCCGGATCCCGTAGGGCTCCCGGAGCAAAGCCGAGTGGGGAGGAGGAAAGGGGCGGAGAGCGAGGAGAGAGGGAGGGCAAGGAGCCCGGCCACCCCCGGCCTTTTCCGGCCAGCTGAAATACTACCAATCACCCGCTCCCGGGCGTCGAATTACAGAAGCTTCTCATTGCCTTGCTAATAATCAGTTAGGGTGGGGGGAGTAGGGTTCGGAGACCCTCCTTGGAGAAGGGAGGGTTTTTTTTGTTTTCTGTTTTTTCCCCCCTTGCTCTTGTCCCCTCCACGCCCACCTGGGGTCCTCCAGACCAATCCTCTGCCCACTTCCCTCTCCCTTCCGAGCTTGGAGAGCTGGTGGCCCGGCCTCGTCCTACGCCACTGTCCCCTGCGCTTCTCGCTGCCCCGGCACCGCAGCAGGGACTATGGACTGAAAAGCGCCCGGGGAGCTGCCGTTCCTGCTCCGCGCACGGCGGGCTCGGGCCCCGAGCTGGTGGCAGGCCGGCGAGCTCTGGCCCGCTGGTTCCCGACCCCGGAGAGACGGAGCCCTCTTTTCCCTTCTCACCTCTCGCCAGTTCATCTTTCTGTGCTCGGTGGGGAGGGGGCGGAGACGGGGATGCCTCCCAGCCCCCACCTCCCGGAGGGGGGGAGAGCGCAGTCGGCGCGCGCAGAGGGTGGCGGCTGCTCCCCTTCGGCCCAGCGCTCCGAATCTGCCCCTGCAGCCGCCGCAGCTGCCGCCGCCGCCTGGGCTGCCTGGGGGGGCGACTGCGCGTCACCTAGACTGAGCAGCGCCGGGGATTTAAATGCCACTGAAACGGTGATCCATCACCGCGGGAGCCAGCAAACTTTCGCAGGAGGCTCCGCCATTGGCTGGCGGAGTCACGTGCCCCTCCCCCTGCGCCCTCCGCCCTCGCGCCCCCCCTCTTGCGCACTGTACATTCATATCATTTTTCTTCTCCGGCCCCATGGAGGAAGTGAGAAAGTTGGCACGGTCACTCAGGGCTTCGCAGGACCCGGTCCCTCAGTGACAGATGGACAATGCAAGAATGAGCTCCTTCCTGGAATACCCCATCCTCAGCGGTGGCGACTCAGGGACCTGCTCAGCGCGAGCCTACCCTTCCGACCATGGAATTACAACTTTCCAGTCGTGCGCGGTCAGTGCTAACAGCTGTGGCGGCGACGACCGCTTCCTAGTGGGCAGGGGGGTGCAGATCAGCCCGCCCCACCACCACCACCACCATCACCACCCCCAAGCGGCCACCTACCAGACTCCCGGGAACCTGGGGGTGTCCTACTCCCATTCGAGTTGTGGTCCAAGCTATGGCGCGCAGAACTTCGGCGCGCCTTACAGCCCTTACGCACTAAATCAGGAAGCAGAAGTAAGTGGTGGGTACCCCTCGTGCGCTCCCGCAGCTTACTCTGGAAATCTCTCATCTCCCATGGTCCAGCATCACCACCACCACCAGGGTTATGCCGGGGGCGCGGTGGGCTCGCCTCAGTACATTCACCACTCATATGGACAAGAGCACCAGAGCCTGGCCCTGGCCACGTATAATAACTCCTTGTCCCCTCTCCACGCCAGCCACCAAGAAGCCTGTCGCTCCCCTATATCAGAGACCTCTTCTCCAGCACAGACCTTTGACTGGATGAAAGTCAAAAGAAACCCTCCCAAAACAGGTCAGTCTTGCCATTCTTTGGATGTTCCTTGATGGTTCTGGAAGGAGCTAGTTTGCTGAGTTGCCAAGGAAAATTAATACTTAAGAAAAGTTCTTGCTTCTTCCCACCAGTGTTGTAGGGTGTGGAGAGATTGCCCAGGTGCATCGGGGCAAAGGAGCATCTGGGAGTGTTGTGTTTCCCAAGAGGCTGAGTTTTAGAGGTTCTGGAGTAGGAAGTGGGTAGGGGTGTGTGTTTGTGTGGTGGTTGGGGGGTGGTTCTGTTAATATCTCCAGGCTCCATTAATCACCAATCTGACCATGCAAATGGTTGACTTGAGATTAACACTTTACACCTCATCAGTCACCTTTCCCAGCCCAGTTTCTGTTGAGAAATTCTTGATCTCCCCTTTACCTGAATGTTGCTCTGAAGCATATAGGGGATCTCATATGGACGATAAAAATTTTTATCTTTCTCTCTCATCGCTCCCCACCATGTCCCCAGGGAAAGTTGGAGAGTACGGCTACGTGGGTCAACCGAATGCAGTGCGTACCAACTTCACCACCAAGCAGCTCACCGAGCTGGAAAAGGAGTTCCACTTCAATAAGTATTTGACCCGCGCCCGCAGGGTGGAGATCGCCGCATCCCTGCAGCTCAACGAGACCCAGGTGAAGATCTGGTTCCAGAACCGCCGGATGAAGCAGAAGAAAAGAGAGAAAGAGGGCCTCTTGCCCATCTCCCCTGCCACCCCGCCAGGAAGTGAGGAGAAGGCCGAGGAATCTTCAGAGAAGTCCAGCTCCTCGCCCTGCATTCCGTCTCCGGGGTCTTCTACCTCAGACACTCTGACTACCTCCCACTGAGGCCCACCCAGCCCCAGACTCCGCAACCCAGGCTACTCTGAGGGCTGGGGACTTCTTACCCAAAGCACATTCTTAGCTTATCTTCCTTTCCATTTACAGTCTCTCTCTTCCTTTCTGATCCTATCTGGGGAGCTCCTGGCCAGGACAGTGTGTTTCCAGAGAATTCTAGATTAGAGGCTTGATTGAGGTGTGTGTGTGTGTGCTAACTCCTTGATGCAGATTAGGTGCCATAATCAATTTTTTGACGGCTCCCAACACCCCTCCCTACTTTTGGAAGATTTCCACAGAATCTGTTCCTTTTAGATGTCCTTTGGAATATAGTCTCCTTTGCCAGCAGAAACATGTCAGAGGGAGGCCTATCTTTTACCTATTTGTGTATTTACAGTTCTCCCCTACTTTGCCCTTAAAGTAGGATAGAGAGAAAGGAGAGTCCAGGAGCTCATAAAGAAGAGATGCACTAGGAGCGTGTTTACACAATTAATTCATCCCTTAATTTAATTCAATTTCATGTGTGTGTTTGCTGGTTGTAAATACTTTGTCCTGAGAGATTTATCTTTATACAGATTTTCTAGAAATGTTTAGATTAAGTGATTAAAACAGGGTGGGTAACTCAAAGCTGGTACAATTTTATATGTGATTATAGGTTAAAGAATAAAATTGCTTACTTAAACTCAGTCATATGCCTCAGAGGGTAGCCTGCATTTGTTCTTTCGGTGAGTTAAGAAGACCTAAAAAAACACAAGGTTCAAAAACCTTGCTTCCTGTGCTAAGTCTCTCCCCATCCCCACCCCATTTATTGTTTCTCTGGCCACACTCTATTTAAAATTTGTGCTGGGTTATTTAGAACCTAAAGGTATTATTCAAGCCAGCTTCTTCCTTCCACAGTTATCTTAGCTGGATATGATGTATTTTCAGCTCACTTGTTAATGTGATGGATGGCACAATGAATGTATATTTTGTGTGATTCGTGAATAGTCTTTTGCATGTCGCACAATGTTTTCATGTCCCTGAAGTACCACACTGAGTTATATCAGTTATTCTTTGTGAGTCTATGATATCCCCCCTTTCCTGTACAATCATGAACAGCTCTGTGATCCTGGAGTAATGTGATCCAGAGCAGAGTTTACGGGTCTTAAGATGTCTGTAATAAATATATTCAAGTTTCACATATGCTTAAGCATCCCTGTATTTGGCTTGGCTGCAATTTGTTGGTTCCAACAAGATTGGCTCATTTCACATGGTTGCTGGGGAAGGGTGGTGTGCACTTTCAGAGGTGGGCCTTTCCTTGAAAAAAAAGTAAATGGCTTTCCATTATGTAGCTGAAACTTCCCCTGTGTCATGGCACCTAGCGAATGCCTATTTAATAGGTTGACTTTCTTTAAAATAACAATAGTTCCTTTATTATAATCCAAGTTCATAATGGAAAAAAATGGATGGTGAAGAAATTTATAAGGCAGATCTATTTTTGAAAGAAACATGGATACTTCCTGGGTCAAGTGCTAACCTTTTCACCTCCAACTGAATGTTGACGTATGTATAAACAGAACGCCCTTCAAAAGCCCAAACTCTTCAGTCCGTCTTTCCTCACATCAGTGAACCAAGAGCTAAGGGATTCACATTTAATGAGCTCCAGTATAAAGCTGTTTGAGGGCAAGGCCTCCACTTTAACCCTCTTCTTTTTCTGCTTGTCAGGCAGTGTTCCAGTATATTCCATCCTCTAAATCGAGTATGGTCTGTTTTCAGGAAACCCTTGCCTCTTTCCTCCTGTCCCTCCTGTCAGTACCCTTCCCTTCCTGCCACTGTCTACAGGCCCTCCTGCCCAGCTCCTCTGGGTTACATATCTCATTCCCATCAGATTCAGCTTTGATTCCATAGCCATCTCGGCTGTAATGGGTCTGCTCTAATCCATAACCCAGTTCCAATCCCCTAACCCAGAAAAAAAGTTTTTATTTTCTTCTCTGGGCTCGACAGATGCTTCCAGGTGAACTTTTGAAAGCTGCCCTGAAGTCTTTCAATATTCAAGTTGTTTCCAACCGAGGCAAGTGTCTGCTCTCAAACAGAGGAAGCCAGCAAATCAAAGTGTTCAAAATGGCTCTCCTCCCAGATCTCTTACCACTTTTCCTTTGCCTTCGCACATTTTCAGAGGCTTTAATTGAGCTCCAAGGGTAGAGCAGAGATACAGCATCACAAATACAGGCATATGACCTCCTTCCTCTACAAAGGGTGTTTCACAAAGGATGGGCTGGCAGTGGGAGGAGAAATCCTACAAAAACTTGGAATTTGCAGGCCTCCTCGAGCACCCATGAGACTTCCTGTACTTCCCTGTCAAAGGGGGCAAGCCTGGACTTTGCAGGCGCAGTTGTGCGGCCATATCAAGGGCACCCGCTGCCCTCCCCTTGGCTCTTGGATCCTGGGCTCTGCGGTTGCCTCTAAAAGACTCAAGTGGATGG